TATTAGGAAAAAAGTAACTTTATTTTTACTATAGTGTACGAGCATATCTAGATCATAATAAAGGAAATTTATAGACCTATGATTTCGATCGATAATAACATGCATAAGGTCTACACAACTGTATTATAAAAAATCTATGATAACCATTACTAATCTCTGTTCAAACTGAATGCAACTTTTGTTATAATTGTAATGAGAGGTCTGTGACTGATAAGTGAGAGACACATCCATTTGAGATCTAAAATGTTGAGAAGTGATCTTATCATCAATTTATTCTTTGTTCAGACGCAATTCGCGTATGCAAATATGAAAAGTATCTAAATGCGATAAAATAAGCAAATACGACAAAGAAAAACACAAAAATACAGAACGAAAAGAAAAAAACCTGTTCTTTTGTGTAAATCAACACAAGTGACAACAAAATATGAGATAATTTGACTTGAATCTTTCCTAATGTTCCATTGATAAAACAGTATTTGGCTTATTTTATTATGTGAACTAGTTAGTAGATAGAGTCCTACATAAATATAAGCTGTGAACTAATATATGTTGATATCAATGCAAGCAAAACAAATAAGAGAGGAAATTCGATCAGCTCACATTGTAAATTATAGTGAAAAACAAACATAACTTTTTTTCTAATATATCTTTTTATCCTTTAAACTTTACTTGTTGTTTAATGCGAAAACACCACAAGATGCAGTGCATTCGGTACTTTCTCGCTATGTATACAATATATTTAAATATAAATGAAGTGTAGAAAAAGAGCACAGAGAGAGAAAATTCAATTGGACTCTACTATAAATACGTTATTATTTATCTTGATATATTTATTTCGTGTAGATTCAATTTTTCTGGCTGGGCTTCATTACAATCGATAGCAAAAGCACTTTTTTGGCAATCACAACTGAAATTCAGCTTGATAAGCGTCTGTATCAGTTGACACGAGGTTCCTTTTGCTAATGCATATTTCAGAATCTGCTTTTTTTCTCTGACATTTTGATGGATACTTTGTAGGGTTACAATAAATTCAGTGAAAACTTAAAATTTGACTTGCTTCTAGGGTGAACGCTACTGTATCTTTTGGATATATATCTATCGTAGAGAGTAGCGAACACTACATTTTTTTTAACTACTATTTTTACTAATGTCACTTATTTCGATGCCTATTTTCATTATTATAGTAAATCATTTCTATCTCCTATTCTATTAAATAATTTTTTATTAACATATATGAAGTTTCTATGCAAGTTCAGGAGTTCGAGTATCATTTGAATTTTGATTTTTGACCAAAGAGAACAAAAAAAGTGTATAGATAGTTTTCACTATACTTTGACATCGATCAAAGACCCATGAATATTCAAAACGATGAGTGATGATTGATTCACGTCGAAATATTGAGAAAAAAATCTCATCTTATTTGTGATTATAAATGTAAAAATGATTGCTCACTTCAAATCTATACATGGTGAAAATTATCCATTGTTAGAAGGCAATTCATGCCAACAAGATAGTAAACAAAGATCGAAACGAGTATAAAACATCTGACTTCACCACGCTTTCGCTCTTCACTTTGGGTGATACCAATCAATCAAAGGATCAAAATAACCGCTAGTTAACACAAAAACTTTTTACAAATATATTGAAGATTCATAAAAAAAGGAATCCTTCGGATGAGGGTTCTTCTTTTATCTTTACTTTTTAAATTCACGATAAATCCATGTTTTATATTAATTAAATAAACAAAAGTAAACAAAAAAAACCTGTATCAATGAAAAGAAAACATTAAAATTTTTTTTCTTTTTTTATAAAGTAAACAAATTAAATAATGAAATGAGATTTTTTTGTTTGCTGTCAAAATCTAAATTTTTATTTCTTGTAGGTAACGTACACGAAACTACAGAATCATGAATACAAAAAAACCTACACAAACAATGGTTTTTTTGCACATACCTTTTTATGTATTGTTTGATTTGTTAACAATGTCACTTATCGAAATATTTTTCAGTGATAGAAAAATACACTGATTATTGTATCTTGTTATTATAGTAGGTTTTTGTCTATTTATTCATGACAGAAAGAAATCTTTATTTTATAAATATGAAAAACACATCCATCTTTAATTTATAAACTGATTTTTTTTCTTTATATTGGCTGTTTATTTTGACTATAAAGGAACAATAAATTCAAACTCTTCCTTCAGTTCAAATTCAATTTGACTTCGTTTCGATCTCTGATAAGAAAATGATGAGAAATTCTCATTTATGATGCTGTGTTAGTTCGATGATAGGATTAAAACCAATATATAGATTACAAAATTCTTCTTCCTCAAAGAAATTTTACATACTTACAAGCTCATTTTGAGAAATATTTTCAGTCTCCGAAGAACAAAAGGCGATGGATGTATTACTGATCAGCCCATGTTCACCAACTTCGCTTGAGTAAAACCATGGTAAAATTCTCGAGATTACAGGTTTTGTCTTGTACCATGCGTTGTAAACGAACATGTTATTTTAGTTTATTTGTTTACCGTTAACCAAATGCTTTTTATATGTTATCTATCACTCATGTGCTAGCGCATGTTATGCATCAATACACAGCGTACATCCAGCTTCGATCGATTGTTTGAAGAGGATCCATGTGCATTTTAATCACCGAATATTTTTTTGTGTATTGTGTATTTTTCATGAGTGACTCATACATGTGGATAACACAAGCAATATTAGTATGAGAGTAAAATACGATGGAATATGGAAAATATTTATTGTGAATTTTGAAACAATTTTTTTCGACACCGACTTTACAAAAAAGTACTATTATTTCTTGCAATTCTGCATAAAGTCATCATTTTGTCTTTCTCGATTTTTCTTTTACCCTTATGTATGTACATGTCGATATTTACTGACACATTGTGGATGTATATGAGGTCACGTAAGATTAGTACGGGTGACGAACATAGAGATCATGTCCTACGCGAAGAATATGGTCTATAAGTAGTCGTACGCGTATCTAACATTACATTGAAAGCGTATCAAAGCTCCTACGGAGAGTACGTAAATTTTGAAATAGAGGTCCCCGCCCGTATCAGGTTGATTTTCATTTGACAATCTGTATGAAATTTATATTTGATTTTTGAATAAGCTACCGAAAATGACATACCTTCCTTTTTATGTTTATTTAAATGTTTTTAATATTTATTGACAAATAAGCCAAACAAATATCAAAAGGAGTAATAATTGCTTGACAAAAAGAAAAGTTCAAGCTTACAGCTGTTTGCTTGAACATTAGTTTTTTCAAATTATTTCGATGGTTTTGTCATTTTCTGTCCATGTAGAAAACATTAAGAAGAAAAACTAAGTTAATACAATAAAGCGAAGTAATACTTTATCAATTTTTCCAATTGTTACGAAGATTCGTTCATTTTCACTATTAAATTGCAGAAGGACATGCAAAAAAATTGGCAAAACTGAGGAAAAGGCATCGTCATCTGGCTCTTCATTCAGATTTTCAAGATTCGATTCTCTTTCTGGGTAGGAATTTGTCATCAACGATCCAGCCAATGATACTCATGTAACGCGAGTAATTGTGCACCGCATATTGGGAAAAAAATGTGAAGAACCGGCCATTTCAATTCAAAAATTCAACCAACGAAAATCGACCTCGTTTATATATCAATTGACATGCTACTTCTTTGATAGAAAGTCTAATAATACAACTTCATTATATATATCATTTTCAATGTATCTGATTTGAGAAAAAAAAACATATTGTATTTAAACGGTTATTATTGATATTTTCTAAAATATATTCCGTATTGAGACTTACTTGTTCAATGCCTCGGGTTTCACCAAAATCTGGTGTACTAATAATGCTTTTTTTGAATCAATGCCATTAAGGTGAAATGCATATGATTTATAACATTTCGTTTCGCGATTGACCTGTATGATCAAAGTATTCATTACTTGAATCATCTATATCATTAAATTTAACAGTATGTTCTTCAAACTTATTGACGATCGGGATCATAATAAATGAAGCACGTATGAGTACAATAGTTTGACTAGTCTGAGCTTCCTCGAGTACGTTGAATGCGAGATAATTAGCAAAAGCATGAATAAAAGTCGATTTTTCAACACGTCTTTCACTAAAAAGAATAATATTGATAGCTTCATCAGTTGATATTGACGTGGGTGTTGACGGTATATTAGAAATGTCAACATCTACGGATGATGAAGTCGATTTCTGAAATTCTTTAGATGATGAAATAGATATTTCTATCGCTGTAGACAATAGAGCTGAAGTTTGATCAATTATGTCTTCATAGGTCTCTTTTGATGATGACAATATCATCATAGTAGATAATTAAAAAGAAAAAATCAGAAAAATCAGCATAGATAAAACACTGATTCGAATTGTTTTTGACTGCTTCCATTAAATCACAAATTAGTTTATGCAATTCTGATGAATTATTCTTGTTTAAACAATCATTTCAGCAAAGAATTCGATAATGTTGATAATTTTGAATGAGTTTATATTTAATATATTTTTCATCATCTGTTGGATCGATGTTATACTCAGCAACATCTAAATTTTGATACGTTTATTGATTTAAATCTCTGATAAAATGTTGTTTCTTCCAGATGTTTTACATTCTGCATTAAATCATTAATCCTAAATTTCGTCATCATTTGCTCTTTATCGTTAAGTATTTGCTCAATTATTAGGTTTCTAGCTTAGCTACTGCAAATTTAGATAACTAAATAGGAAAGACATTTGATTTCATGTGTAAATTTCTTTCTCAATCGAACCATTGTGTTGGGATATAATATTGTTGTTGCTTCAAATGTTCACATAAGGCGTTTGGTATATATTTGTGATAGTTTTACCTTGCTGTTTCATAACAGTTCTTAGTTGAAGAACGTAATCTTCGTATATTCATTGAATTCTCTACATAGAATAATGAATTTCGCACACTCTTCATTACATTCAGGATAGAGCTCTTTTATGGTTTGAAGAGTATAAGATATTGAATAATCGACCGAATTATTTTTGTTTTTCTTCTATATAATGATAAACATCACAAAGCATAGTCAAATTTCTCAAATAAGGTATTTTCGTGTAGGCTATCTTTTCTAAGAGAGTTGTGTCATTTTTAGTCAACGAACAAATGTTGTGATGATTTTATAAAAGAATACACAGTTTGTCAAGCACTTGATCAATCTCTACAGTTATATTTGCAACAGTCAGCAATTGCATAAAGATAATAAAATCAATTCCGGAATGGACTTTTATAATTATATGAATTGCATCAGTAAAAAGTGTTGATACTTTATCATATATTATGGTTTCTGAGTGAATATCTGAAAGTTTTTCTTCTCTATTCAAATAAGAATATTGAACGAAACGAGTATTCAATAATTCTGACTGTTTCAAACTTCTTTTACGGATTGAGTTATATACTTAATCTTAATTCCTGTACAAAACTATTTATTTTCAGAATATTTTTACTACTATCATGTTTGCAAACTAAAACAGTTCTATTTTCTGATTTAATTAAAACCAATAGAACATAGAAAATTTGAATGAATTTTTATATATGTTCTTTTTTATATCTGAAGACTATATAACGATATAAGCTGAAGAATAAGCAGCAAATTAATGTTTTCTAATAATGGGATACGAAAATGAAAAGCTCTAAGTCAAACAAAAAATAGAGTGCCAGTAAAGAAAGAAAAATCTCTGTTCAAAATACAGCAATAAATAAGACAGATCGTTTCCTTGATTATCAATCATCCTTAGAAAGCTATTACAGTCTGCTAGAGATTTTTCATTTTACGTATTTTATATCAGTATAATGAAGCCAAAGAACCTATGTGAGTTCCATATATTATGTCCAAAGAAGCTGCACTGACAAGTAGCCGGCTATTGAAGTATCGTTCGAATCAAGCAAAGAGAGTGTACATTCTGAGTTTATTGATGCTTACGGAAAGAAAAAACAACAACGACAACTAACATATTAAATTATACAAACAAAACAAAAAAAAAGAAGCAAGCCACCATCAAAAGACATATTCAGTACAAACACAATGACAATGTTGAAAACATATTAAGAAAAGAAAAGGAAAAGAAATAATGAGTAAACGGGAAAAGAACAATAAAGAATACTCCAACAAACAATAAAATAGTGATGAAAAGAAACATCACTAGAATGAATTGTGATTACGAAAGAAAAAAACATTTCTTTTCTTCATTTTATATTTATTTTTCATATTTATTTGATGTTTGCTGTGACTCTGAATTATGTATAAAATCAGATACTGACGAAACATCAATTGAATTAGATGTTACTTGTATACCATATAATGCTACTACACAATCTACAGCATAACACCAACGTTTTATATTAATATGACGTTGAAAATATTCAAACATATTTATCTAGATAAAATTAAAGAGAAATAAGGTTATCATTAATTTAAAAAAATTCTTGTTGATTTGCATGTTTTATGAGGATAAAATAAATGTAGCACATGAAACAAACAAAATAAAATCTCTAATATGATCGTGTAGCCATATTTATACATCAATAATAAGTTGGCTTCCCAACAAATAACTATGTCAGGCACTCTTCAATATAGGCTTCTATTACGTCGACTGTCGATTATAATGTTGAGACAAAAACGCATAGTGAATCATCAACAAGAACAGCAATCATCGACATGATCACAAAAAAAAAATGAGAAAAAAAAGAAAACCGTAATAAGTAAAGAGGTATTAATTCATGCATTGACGGACGAAAGCAATTGAAGATAATTAAATTGTATCTTCTTCTTGGTGACGACATCAAGAAATTTTAAAATCGGAAAAAAACCCTAACTATCTATTTCAATATTTGAAGGCTGATAAACTTTATTTGTTATGAGAACTAATAGAAATATAAACGAGATGAACGATGAATGCGAAAATAATTCTAATTTCTTCTTATAAAAGATTTTTAACAGCATTATCTTATAATTGGCAAGATAATTTAAAACGTACATAAAAAGATTATTTCATGCATATTTCTGTAAAAGAAAAATGACAAACATTTTTCTATTCACAAAAAACTGACGTCATTTTTCTATCATGAAAAACATAATCAATGTTTACTTAATCTAATTATATACGAATTTATAAGACATTTCTTTTTATCAAACATGTAATTTAAAAATGTTATTCTATTTATTTTGTTTTTATCAATTAATCGATAGTCTATACCGAGTGATTCGAAAGTTATCAAGCAGTTTTTCTTTTTATTGCGAATAACTTTTAATAGAAACAAGAAAAAAGAGAACTGAAGTTTTCACTATTGCACTGAGGAGACTGAGGTAATAAATAATTAATATAGCATCATTTTGCATAAGAACAGCGAAACGAGTCGAATACTGTATGGTCTCATAATAATCAATGTATAATTTTCTTTTCAATAAGATTTATCTAGGTGTTTCATATGATGAATTTATCAATTCATTCTTATCAACAAAAGTAAAAATATATATAAAAACTCATAATCTTATATAATTCCGAATAGTTGAAAATCTCGTTGAAGAAACAATTTGTTAGGCATAATAGAAGATTGATTTAATTAATTATCTCTTCGAAAGTTTCGAAGTTTAATTAGTTTGTTTGACATGAAAATATTTCTAATTTTCATTATTTTAAGCTGAAAATCTTAAAAGACTGAGATTAACATTATTTCTAGACTTTCAAAACCGTAAAAAGCAGGTTTCAAAATGTCAAAGTCATTTTGGTTTTTTAAAAACAATCTCTTAAATTAAATGAAAAGGAGTCGAAGAGATCTTTAAAAATTGTGTATGTTTAGACACAATAAAGGACTCGGAATCTTGTTTTGGTCAAAGTCGATTTTTATTTGTCGATACCTTACCAGGTTATTTTGACCAATTGACGATGTTAATTAGGATTTTATTCTGAAAAACTATGACAATACAACATTGAACAATAAGCAATATATGTCTTTGATAAAATTATATTTATAAATCATCATTCTTTGTTTTGTGAACCTAAAGAATAATTTGGTTGTTGGAATTGTACTATCAATGTACGTATCTTACTTCAAACAGAGAATATGGCAATACGATGATTCATTTTTTAGTTCTCTTTTTCATTCTAAAAGACAAGTAAAAATATCATGACTTATTTCTTTATCATATAGAAACAAATAGATAATTGAAATCAAGAAAAACAATCAGCATAAAAGAGATTAATAAATCACGGTTCACTAAAATTATTATTTACCATACATTCAATGGCATCATTCGGTATGAATTCATTTTGTAAAAATAAATTGAATAAAGCTATTGATGAAAGATCAATATCGATCTCATCAACATATATTTAATTATAAAGACAAACAAAGGTTTATAGTCAAACTAAACTCATAGGAATATCATGAAGAATCCAACAGTGCTGCTACATCTTCTGTTTCCCTAAGGTTTTTTCATTCTTATATTTTTTATCCATGTTCTTAGATTTTGCCAACTTATTTCTTCTAAAATGTTAATGACATTGGGTATTCACATTTGTTAATGTTTTTTTTTACCAATATTCTTTTATGAGGCTTACACATTCTCACTACTGGTTATAAAAAATATTAGTGTGAATTTCAACGTTTTTACTCCTTTGTTTCTTCCTGATTTTAAAATGATGCAATGCAAAACAATTTATTGCAGGATAGTTCCGTAAATTCATAAAATTGAAAGCAGTTTATTTTTATTTTTCCATGAGTGTCACAGCTCATACACTTAGGTGTAGAAAAGGCTGTGTACCAAGAGAAAACTTACACCTACACGACTTATAAGAATGATCTGGGATCAGAAAATCGTTTGCTGGTTTTAACCTGTCTTTTGACAAAAGAATTTCTATCATTTCTTGTTTTTTCAAAGAGGATTTCTGCTTTGTTGACGCTAGGAAATGACAGCACTGGACTCATCAAAAATTCTTTCTTGAAATTTTGTGGAGGATTCAACTCTACGTCTTTTAAATATATAATATCATGTTCTTTTCTTGTTCTCACAAGAGAACGTTCCTAGGCGGCCGATATCGTTCAACTCTATATTTCGTTCACAAGTGGGCCTTAGTAAGACTAGCAACAGCATAAAATAGTTTATCCCAGTGGTGTATTGGTCAACTAGTTATAACTATTTCACTGACTTTTTGGCAAATACCTAAGTATTTATTCTGAAAGTTTTAGTTGAATCTAATGTTCCCTTGTTGAAATATAGGACCTTTAAGTGAAGTTGTTTTTTTGTGTCCTTTATGTGACAAGCGACTTTATATGGATATCCAATATC